ATATAGAAACTATGAGTTCTTAGAGATGAAGACAAGATGCTTTAGAGTGAACAAGTGTGTTACTGATGAAATAGGGAAGAAATTAAAATTTCATAGACAAAATTAATATCAAATGACAGAATATCAGCTCCTCTGGGGAACACTTAAGGCATTCATAAAAGTTTACATCTGTAAGGTTTTCTACCCACACACAAAAGCCCAGAGAAGTCACAAATAAATAACCTAATGATGTACCTGAACAGTCTAGAAAAAGCAATCATCAAGTCATCTAAAACATAGCACATGGCAAGAAATAATAAAAAGTAGGGCAGAAACAATTAGATGGAGACTAAAGGAACAATATATCCAATCAACCAACAATGAGCTTTTTCTTTCAAAAGCTTCACAAGATTGACAGACCTATGGCCCAATTCTTCAAAAAGAAAGAATGAGAATATCAAAATGAATAAAATCTGAAAAGAAATGTACAAGGTAAAATTGACCCCAGTGAAATTCAGATCATTAGGAAATAGTGCAACAATTCATTTCCCAAAGCTGGACAACTTATATAAAATGGATAATTTGCTAAATATTTATTACCTATGTAAAAGAAAGTCAGAACAGATCCATAATGAACAGTGAGATTGATGCAGTAATTAAATATCTTCTTACAAAGAGAAAGAAGCACAGAACATTGTCTCTGTTAAATTATATCAAATTTTAGGGATGTCCTAATAGCAATGTTTTTCAAGCTCATTTATGAACTAAAAAGGGAAGGACCTGTACTAAATTCATCCTGCAGAGCCAGTATCATCCTGATGCCAAACCCAGAGAGGTATGATGAAAAAGAAAATGATAAGTCTATTTTCCAGGAACATAAACACAATATTCTGACCCCACTACCCTTCCCCACAAACTGAACTCTAGAACACACTGAAAAGATCATATATCAAGAATAAGCAGGCTTAGCCATGCAAGGTGGCACAGCCTTTATTCCCTGTATTTGGGAGTCAGAGGCAGGTGGATCATTGTGAGTCTTAAGTCAGCCAGTTGTACATAGTTATACCCTGACTCAAAAACAACAACATCATGAATAATAATACCAAAGACCATGTAGATTTCATCCAAGGACTGCAAGACTGGTTAAACATGGAAATCAATAAATGTAATTCATCATATGACTAATCTTAAGGTTAGAAATCCCTTGATCAGCAGGGTGTTGGTGGCGCAGGTCTTTAATCCCAGCACTCTGGAGGCAGAGGCAGGCAGACCTCTGTGAGTTCGAGGCCAGCCTGGTCTCCAGAGTGACTGCCAGGATAGGCTTAAGCTACACAGGAAACCCTGTTTCGAAAAAACAAATACAAAACAAAAAATAAAACAAAAAATAAATCCCATGATCATACAGCAAAGGTACAAAAAGGCATTATACAAAATTCAACATGTTTTCATGATAGAAATCCTGGAGGTATTTGTCGGGGTCTGGCATGTATCAGTCCCCCGCTACAGAGGCCATCTATTCCAGACTGATGTCTTTGGGCTGTGATCGGAACCAGTCGAACAGCCCCAGGTCTGACCCTGAGTTGAGGAGTGTGGATTACGGAAAGCCTAGCTACCCAACTGCGTTAAGGGGAGACAGAGACATCTTGTCATCTCAGGGTGCTCTCAGTTCATACTGGAGTCCATGGTTTATTTAAGTATCCTCTTTGTTATGATAAATCTTTCCGCCAAAGCTGCCCGAGCCCTACTGCCACGTGTGTGGTTTATGCCAGCCGCCCGCCCGAGTTAGAGCCCAAATTAATACACAGAGAGACTTGTATTAGTTAGGTACAATGCGGCTTGGCCAATGGGTAGGATTCCTCATCTGTTAGTTCAGTCTTAATTATCATAAATCTATACATTTTATAAGACTTATCTTATAGAGGATGCCTTTTGCTGGCACCCTCTCTTGCTGGTGGCTCACATGGCACCGCTGGAGGAGGAAGGGGAAAAGGGAACCTTTCCTGTTTCCTTTGCTTAAATATTAGTCTCCTTGCTATGTCACTTCCTGCCTGGATCACCACTTCTCTACTACATTTCCCAGAATCCTTTTTGACTCCTAGTCCCATCTAACTAGCTGTCTCATTGGCCAAACAGTATTTTATTTAACAATCAATAAGATAAAACATACACAGAAGTACTTCCCCCATCATCTCCTCTTTTCTGTCTAAAATAAAAGAAGGATAACTTTTATAATAACTGAAGAAAACTATAACCATAACTATCTGTCTTCAACTCTATCAAAGACCACAGAAGGATAATATATAAACTCTAGAATTGACAGGGACATCTGCTACCTGGACAGTCACCCAAAGTTCCTCTGTAATGTTGGAGCATCCATCTTCAGCCCATAGGCCACAGTGTGTCTGGCACACTTCTCCATTCCAACAGGAACCCTTTAGTACTGTCTTGTTTTGTAAGTTTAGCAGTCACTTTCTTGTGGGTCCTGTATGTCCAGTTTATACAGCAACAAACAGTCCAGGCAAGAGCAGTTTCTTGCCCAAATGGCTAATCTTGCCATGTTGAAAGCAAACTCCATAACGAGTTTCTTGGATGCCTATCCTCCTTTCTGACATAATTGGTTTGCCAGGAGCAGTTGTGTCTCACTGTCAAGAAAAACCCTAAACAATTTAAATCCCATATTTCTGTAGGTCTTTGAAAGGTTTGAAGAATATCTAACCATCTCAAATACATCTCTGTAAATCTAGAAAACCTAACTAACCTAGTTATAAGTTCTGACTATCATAAGTGACTATATAACCTGTATTTAATTATGCATATAGTTTTAAAAGCTCTGTATAAACACAATACCTAAACAAGAGGAGACATAAACATATCACAAAAATGACACCTCTAAATAGCTTCCCAAAAGTGGGAGTATAGCAGAAGACATCTAGTATCATGTATAAAGCTGATATCAATATTTCCTTCAATCCTAGAGACAGTCCTAGAAGCAGGTACACAAGCCCCCAGATTTTTCTACAAGAGCAAGTCTTTCTAGTCAATCACTAGTTTCCAGGCATGTTCCACCAGCCCCATGATGGGTGTGTGTCCATGCAGGGGTCTAGGTCTATTATTACACGAACTGGAACCATTCCTGACCAAGGCCAGGCATCTGGAGGTAATCAGCTGACATCTGAAAGACAATAGGAGTTTTGAACTCCTAAAATTCTTGGCTGGGCCAAGCATATTTCTGAGAAATAACATTTGGGTTCCAACATAGAATCACCCCTAAAGATGCTTGTGAGTTATTTCTTCATTAAGTTGATCAAGCTGAGAAAGATGTTTTAAATGCATCAAATATTTATAGTTGTTCACATCTTCATGTACATCGCACTGTGAGTACCTGACCCCAAACTCAAAGTTGATTGACAAGAAACATCCCTTGAAGCTCTGCAGGAAAAGTTCTCTTTTGCAGAGGTAAGGAGAAGAAGGGGAAAGTGACTGGCAAGTCAATTCCCATGTAAACAAAGAGTGAGGTCATTGTGAAGATAAATGGAAAAAGAGGAGTTTAGATAGTGAGCTTTTGTTGTTTTCCCACAAGATAATTATCACTTGATTACTTTTTTCTTTTATAAAATTCGGTGAAATAAAAAATCATGATTTGTTAGTGTTGTTTTTTTTTTTCAATTTAATACACACTGAAACCATTTAGTGTTGATTGCATGTGCATGAGTGTGAGACCATGTACTGGAGTATGAGTAGTGCCTCAGAGCCCTCATCCCTGAAGAAAACCAACTTTGTTTTTCCTCCAAGATATGCTTGCAATCAAGCCAACCAAAATCTCATGATGTATGCAGGAGGGTCTCATGGGATTAGCTCCTAAGGGAGATGTCAAGCTAATCAGACTGTCAACTTTGCAAGTTAAATGTTCCACCTTGTGCAGTTTGTTCATCTGGGTATGTTCAATGAGCTGAGAGTCTACATCCCAGTCCTTGAGTTTAGCAGTAGTCTTGCCATTTTCAAACCTGAAAAGCAGAAATCCTCTATTCTGTTTAGACTACTGTCATGGAGTCTACCTACACTGTTTGTTTTAGACACATGTATCAGTGTCAACACTGTGCCTTCAGTCAGTTTCATGAGTGTTCACTTGAAGTTCTTGAATTGCATGATTTTGTGGGTTTTCTGGGTCAAGAGAGTAGCAAACCATTTTCATAGGTCACCTCAGGTCATTTACCATAAGAGCTGTAATAGTAACACTTCTATGTTTTGCCAACTCTACTAACAATAGTCAAGATATGTGAGCAAACCAGACACACATCAACTGTAAGTGGATGGAAAGAGCACAAAAGATAGACCAATGCTGTGTGATTCCTCTCCAATGAGGGTTCTGAAAGTCAGAGTCAGGGAAGAAAAGAGCAGGCAGGTTCTTTCCAGGGTATGGGGTAGGGGCCATGAGTAGCTGCTAACCATTGACTCTAAATTTATAATTATTCCAAAGCTCTTGTAGAAGGCACTTGGTCCAGTAGTGTGTGTGTGTGTGTGTGTGTGTGTGTGTGTGTGTGTGTGTGTGTGTGTGTGTGTGTGTGTGTGAGAGAGAGAGAGAGAGAGAGAGAGAGAGAGAGAGACAGACTTTATTATATTAAAATATTAAGAGACTTTTGAGTGTGTGGATATACTATCAAGTAATTTATCAAAGTATAAAAATGGCAGACAACATGGAATGGATAATAGTCCAGAATTTATTATGTTTCCATACATTTTGGATAATTTTAATTAAGGTATCTTTCTCAGCTTTTCATAGGGAAAGAATAAGATCAGGGCTCAGAAGAAAGTTGCAGATGGGCTCAACACAGAGAGAACAAGAGATTGAGAGGGAATGGATTTGCATTCTGTAAAGGTGTCTGAGGCTTCCAAAGTGGTGATAGCCTCATTGTAAGTTGGGAGCTTTTGCCCATATGGCAAGATTTGTGGGACACAAGTACAGTTGTTGGGATACTGTTCAGTTGGCAAGTTGATCAGCAGTAGTCCTAGCAGCAGCTGGCCTAACAGCAGCAGGGCTGGCAGCAGCTGCTTACACAGGTTGGTTTGCAGCAGGTGGTCCTGCAGCAGGTGGTTTCACAGCAGGTTGGGGTGCAGCTAGGCTGGCAGCAGCTGGACTCACAACAGCTAGGTTGGCAGTAGGGTGTGTAGCAGCAGCTGGTCACACAGGTGGGCTTACAGCAGGTGGTCCTGCAGCAGGTGGTATCACAGCAGCTGGGCAGGCAGCAGGGCAGACAGCAGCTGCTCACACAGGTTGGTTTGCAGCAGGTGGTCCTGCAACAAGTGTTTTCACAGCAGCTGGGCTGGCAGCAGCTACTCACACAGGTTGGCTTACAGCAGGTGGTCCTGCAGCAGGTGGTTTCACAGCAGCTGGGCTGACAGCAGGGCTGACAGCAGCTGGTCACACAGGTTGGTTTGCAGCAGGTGGTCCTGCAACAACAGTTGTGGCAGGAGCGGGGCTGGCAGCAGCTGCTCACACAGGTTGGCTTACAGCAGGTGGTCCTGCAGCAGGTGGTATCACAGCAACTGGGCTGACAGCAGGGCTGGCAGCAGCTGCTCACACAGGTTGGCTTACAGCAGGTGGTCCTGCAGCAGGTGGTTTCACAGCAGCTGGGCTGACAGCAGGGCTGACAGCAGCTGGTCACACAGGTTGGTTTGCAGCAGGTGGTCCTGCAGCAGGTGGTATCACAGCAACTGGGCTGACAGCAGGGCTGGCAGCAGCTGCTCACACAGGTTGGCTTACAGCAGGTGGTCCTGCAGCAGGTGGTCCTACAGCAGATAGGCTGGCAGTAAGGGGAACAACAGGAGTTGGTCATGGTGTCAGTTGTGGTTGGAGGGTTCTCCTTGTTATCAGGTGAGTTTTCTACAGTATGGTGAGTTCTTGCATTCTGGACCTTTTATATGTCAGGCCTTTAAGGTTTGAACCAATCAGCAGGGCTTTTCCTTGTTGTTGTTTACTCCATTTCCATATTCACTTTATGTTTCATAAGGAAGTGCTTCTCAATGCTATGCATCATTGGAAAGTTTATTCTGATTCTTTTTTCGTAATCACTCATAGGAAGTCTTTCAACAATGGGAGACGGGAAGGGTATTGCACTGCCAGTCTCACTGTATCCTGGGTCATCATCTGGTCATATGGTAATTCTTGCTCTCTCGGGAGAGTGAGAGTATCTGTTTGTCTACATTTTGTTATCTCCTTTGTAGGCAGAATTTTCATTGAGCTGCCAGCTGACAATAAATGACATAGAGTCTTATTAATTATGAAATCTTGACCTTAGCTGAATCTTGATTCGAACTCGGTCTTATAACTTAATTGAACACATTTCTGTAAATCTACCTGCTGTCACATGGCTCATGCCTTTATCTCTCCTCCTGCATGCCCTGCTTTCTCTGTGTCTGGCTGGCGACACTGCCTTCCTTCTTTCCTGAGATATCTCAGTCCTCATAAGTCCTGCCTCACCTCTTCCTGTCTAGCTATAGGCCATTCCAATGTTTATTAAGGCAACTACAGTGAGATATCTTCATACAGTATAAAGGATTATTCTTCAGTAACCCTCAGCTTATGCAGTATCTTCATGATGGTGTTACATTCACAGTGATGGATTGGTTGGGTGTCTGTCCTGTTACACATAAAGTCCTCACTTTGTGTTAGCCCAGACATCTGTTTCTTTACCAGCTCCTCCACCTATGTGTCTCCAAGACACTTGGGAATAAGATATCTGACTTACTATGTTTCATATCATGCAACACTGGAGGACAAATGTGGAAATGGAAATTCAGTAGCATGAGAAGATATTAACGTGTGTGTGTGTGTGTGTGTGTGTGTGTGTGTGTGTGTGTGTGTGTGTTTGTGTGTCTATTTGTGCTGGTTTCCCTTTTCCTGATAGGCTCCCAATGGTGATCATGTTGAGATCTCTGCCAAATAACAATTCAACACAAGCAAACCTTAGCACGCAGTTGACTACTATTGGATAGCAGATTCTGTGCTCACAGTTTAGTTTTCTTTCTTTGTCATTGTCTTTTCCCTTTCTCCTGCCTGCCTGTCCTTCTGTCTTACTATCTCATTTTGCAATCCCTTCTTTATTCTCTTCCTTTTTTGCTTTTCTTTTTATGTGGTGATGGATTTAAGATAAGTTGAAATCGTTCCTAATGATGCAAATATTTTTAGAATTGATAACGTCTTGTATACATTTGGAAATGGAATAAATAATGTTGTGATGGAAAGAGTATCACAAGGTGAACATGTCTGTGCTGTTATTAATCAGGTAAGAAATAAAAATTCATCCGTTTATTAAAATCTCATCTTCTCATTGTTTTCCAAGGAGAGGCTATCACTCTATATCAACTTCACTATTTAGCCAGTGGTGCCACATTTGCTTCTTTGCCCCATTGCAAATGAGTAGTATAATGGGCTTCTCCATTTAGCTTATGGTAGTGAAATCTCTTACTGTAATAATCTATTCTTTCTTCTTCTCATTGGTCAGTATTCTCTCCTTGAATGAATTTGGCACAATCTTTTTGTGTTTTCTTCTAGAAAAATTCAGCTTGTTTGCCGTTTGAATAACTTAAAATTGATGATGTGATAAAAGCTTTATGTGGCACTTTTGGGAAGTAGGGATGAATATGTCTGTTGAGTGTGTAGTTATGTGGATAATTGATTACAGGATTCCCTTTGAAATGTTTATTCCTTTGTCTATGGCTAGCCACACTTCATGCATTGCAATAGAATTTACATATTAAATAAAACCGTAATAGAATGCTATGATAATATTTTAAGCAAAAAATTAAAAAAACAGAACATAACTTCAGGTTACAGAGCCTTTCACACCCTCTGAACACATTTATAAAATTGTCACTTCTTCTAAATGGGTCAGTGTGACAAGTGTCTGACCTATAGTTGACTGAATTATTTTTAGGCATATAATATTACTGCTACCATATGTATTCAAATTAAACATGTACTGCTTCTGAAATGTAGAAATGTGAAGTTTTATTAGCGTAAGTTAATTTTACAAAATAATATATTGGATTGTGCTGTCTTTCTACTTGTGCATAGCACATTCTGATCACACTCACCCTCGAAATAATGACCTCTGTTACAGTCACTGCTGCCTCACTCAGGTCTGTTTTTCTCCCCTGTTATGATCATGTCAACTTTTCTTCAAATTTCCATATCCAATTCTTGCCATTCCAAGATTCCAAGTCTTGTTTATTTCACCTAATATGGCAACTCCATTTCCAACATTTGCATGCAAATCAAGTTATTCCTTGAGAAAGAATTAATTCAATCCTTTATATGTTACACATTTTATCTATTCATTAAATCCCTTGATGGGTTCTTGCACTGATTTTATAACCTGATTAAAGTAATAGTCACTTGATGGCCATGGAGGCAGACATTGCTCCAGTGTATATCAGCTCTGGTTTCTTTAGGTGCATACAGAGGGATAATGTATCTGGATCATGGAGCAGTTTTATTTTTATCTTTTGAGGAAACTCCAAACTGATTTCCATAGGTATTATGCTAATTAACATTCTCACAACACTGAAAGGAGTTCTTTTTTCTCCCTTCATCCTAAGCATTTTGTTTGTTTCCTTGATGGCAGCCTTCTGACTGGGGTGAGATGGAATTTAACAGGCAGTTTTGATTTGCATTTCTCTGATGACTACTTCTATTAATTATTTTTTCATGAAATTGCTGAACATTTGTATGTTGTTTTAAATATTCAGACTATTGCTCCACTTCTGAATTGGGTTAATTTCAATTTTGCTTTTCATTTTAAATCTCATTGCATGTTTTGCATATGAGTCCTCTGGATGAGTATCTTGCAATGGGTTTTCTTCTGTTTTTCCATTCTGTTTGACATCTTTTACTCTGTTCTTTGTTTCCTTATTTGTGAAAAAGCTATTTAATTTGATTGAGTTACATCTGTCATTTCTTGTTGTTCCTGTCTGATCTACTGAAGAACTGTTGATTGTCTCATTGCCTGTACCCATGTTCTTTTTTTTATTCATGGAAGTTTTTTGCATCTTTTGATATCTTTAATTTTGTTTCACCATGTTAAAGTTTCCATTGCACTGTCTTTCACATCCTTGGTCAAGTTCATTCATAAATACTTTGAGTGTGGGCAGCTATCATGAATGGAAGTGTTTTCCTCACTTACTTCACAGTGGGTTCATTATTGCTATGGAAGTTCTTGTTTATTATATGTTGGTTTGGGTTTTGCAAATTAAAAGTGCTTCCTAAACATAAAGATTTTTAGTAGAGTTTGTAAAATCCTTTAATTATAGAGTCATATAACATGTGAATACACATAATTTTACTTCCTCCTCTCATGTTTCCCTTTTATATGTATCTCTTGTCTTGTTTCTCTGACATAAGACTAAGCACAATATAGAACTAGAGGGGTGATAGTGTGCACCCGTGTCTCAGTCCAGATTTAAGAATGAGGAAATGTTCATAAAACAGTAACAATTGGGATAGTTCTGGGCTCACTCTCAGATTTTAGCACAATATCATAGAATACCAAAGTAAACCTCAGCAAAGGAACTTTAGGGTTAAATTCTACCATATGTCAAATGGACCTAATAGATATTTATAGAACATTCCACCCCACACATAAGGAATGCACATTCTTTTCAGTTGCCCATAGAATTTTTCCCAAAATCTATCACAACATAGGCCACAAAGCAGGTACAAAAAGGGAGAGAATTCTTTGTGTCCTATCAGACTGCAGTGGAATCAAAGTAGAAACCAAGAGCAGGAGCATATATGGAAACTATGAATTATTAGAGATGCAGATGATGCTTTAGAGTGAACAAATGTGTCATTGATGAAATAGGGAAGGAATTAAAACTTCATAGACAAAATTAATATCAATTGACAGGGTATCCTCTCCTCTGGGGAACACTTAAGGCATTCATAAAAGTTTACATCTGTAAGGCTTTCTGCCCACACACAAATCCCCAGAGAAGTCACAAATAAATAACCCAATGATGTACTTGAACAGTCTAGAAAAAGCAATCATCAGGTAATCTAAAACATAGCACATGACAAGAAATAATAAAAAGTAGGGCAGAAAGAATGAGATAGAGACTAAAAGAAGAGTATGTGTAATCAACCAGCAATGAGTTGTTCTTTCAAAAGCTTCACAAGATTGACAGACCTTTGGCCCAATTCATCAAAAAGAAAGAATGAGAATATCAAAATGAATAAAATCTGAAAAGAAATGGACAAGGTACAGTAGACCCCAGTGAAATTCAGATCATTAGGAAATAGTGCAACAATTCATTTCCCAAAGCTGGACAACTTAGATAAAATGGATAATCTTCTAAATATTTATTACCTATGTAAAATAAAGTCAGAACAGATCCATAATGAACAATGAGATTGATTAGGTAATTAAATATCTTCTCACAGAGAGAAAGAAGCACAGAACATTGTCTCTGTTGAATTATATCAAATTTTAGGGATGTCCTAATAACAATGTTTTTCAAACTCATTTATGAACTAAAAAGGGAAGGAGCTGTACTAAATTCATCCTGCAGAGCCAGTATCATCCTGATGCCAAACCCAGAGAGGCATGATGAAAAAGAAAATAATAGGTCTATTTTCCAGGAACATAAACACAATATTCTGACCCCACTACCCTTCCCCACAAACTGAACTCTAGAACACACTGAAAAGATCATATATCAAGAATAAGCAGGCTTAGCCATGCAAGGTGGCACAGCCTTTATTCCCTGTATTTGGGAGTCAGAGGCAGGTGGATCATTGTGAGTCTTAAGTCAGCCAGTTGTACATAGTTATACCCTGACTCAAAAACAACAACATCATGAATAATAATACCAAAGACCATGTAGATTTCATCCAAGGACTGCAAGACTGGTTAAACATGGAAATCAATAAATGTAATTCATCATATGATTAATCTTAAGGTTAGAAATCCCATGATCATACAGCAAAGGTACAAAAAGGCATTTTATAAAATTCAACAGGTTTTCATGATAGAAATACTGGAGGTATTTGCTGGGGTCCGGCATGTATCAGTCCCATGCTACAGAAGCCATCAATTCAAGACTGATATCTTTGGGTCTGTGATCGGAACCAGCTGAACAGCCCGGATCCAACCCTGAGTGGAGGAGTGTGGATGAGGGAAAACCTAGCAACCCAACGGCATTAAGGGGGAGACAGGGACATCTTGTCATCTCAAGAGGGCTCTCAGTTCATACTGGAGTCCATGGTTTATTTAAGTATCCTCTTAAATAGCTTTCCAAAAGTGGGGGTATAGCCGAAGACATCTAGTATCATGTATAAGGCTGATATCAAATATTTCCTTCAGTCCTAGAGACAGTGCTAGAAGCAGTTCCACAAGCCCCCAGACTTTCTACAATGGCAAGTCTTGCTAGCCCCTCAGTAGTTTCCAGGCATGTTCCACAAGCCCCCATGATGGGTGTGTGTCCACCCAGGAGGCTAGGTTTATTGTTACACAAACTGGAACCATTCCTGACCAAGGCCAGGCATCTGGAGGTAATCAGCTGACATTCAAAAGACAATAGGATAACTGAGCTCTTAGAATTGAGCTGAGGCCTCTATCTGAAATATCATAATCTATATTTATACTGCGACAGGTATTTGAATAGTTGGGTCCTATTCTAAATACAACAAAGGCTATATGGCACACATATACCTTATATTAGATAGGAAAAATGGCAACACCCTTCCTTTCTTCCTTCCTCCCTTCCTTTCTCCCTCCCTCCCTCCCTCCCTCCCTCCCTTCCTTCCTTCCTTCCTTCCTTCCTTCTTTCTGTCCTTCCTTTTTTTTCTCCCCCACCTACGCCGCAGGCAGCATCATCTTCCCGATGCTGGGAACTCTTTAGCCCTCTTCTCATCCATCAAATATTTATAGTTGTTCACATCTTCATGTACATCGCACTGTGAGTACCTGACCCCAAACTCAAAGTTGATTGACAAGAAACATCCCTTGAAGCTCTGCAGGAAAAGTTCTCTTTTGCAGAGGTAAGGAGAAGAAGGGGAAAGTGACTGGCAAGTCAATTCCCATGTAAACAAAGAGTGAGGTCATTGTGAAGATAAATGGAAAAAGAGGAGTTTAGATAGTGAACTTTTGTTGTTTTCCCACAAGATAATTATCACTCGATTACTTTTTTCTTTTATAAAACTTGGTGAAATAAAAAAATCATGATTTGTTAGTTTTTTTTTTTCAATTTAATACACACTGAAACCATTTAGTGTTGATTGCATGTGCATGAGTGTGAGACCATGTACTGGAGTATGAGTAGTGCCTCAGAGCCCTCATCCCTGAAGAAAACCAACTTTGTTTTTCCTCCAAGATATGCTTGCAATCAAGCCAACCAAAATCTCATGATGTATGCAGGAGGGTCTCATGGGATTAGCTCCTAAGGGAGATTTCAAGCTAATAGGACTGTCAACTTTGCAAGTGCAGTTTGTTCATCTGGGTATGTTCAATGAGCTGAGAGTCTACATCCCAGTCCTTGAGTTTAGCAGTAGTCTTGCCATTTTCAAACCTGAAAAGCAGAAATCCTCTATTCTGTTTAGACTACTGTCATGGAGTCTACCTACACTGTTTATTTTACACACATGTATCAGTGTCAACACTGTGCCTTCAGTCAGTTTCATGAGTGTTCATTTGAAGCTCTTGAATTGCATGATTTTGTGGGTTTTCTGGGTCAAGAGAGTAGCAAACCATTTTCACAGGTCACCTCAGGTCATTTACTGTAAGAGCTGTAATAGTAACACTTCTATGTTTATGCCTCCCTACTAACAATAGTCAAGATATGTGAGCAACCCAGACACACATCAACTGTAAGTGGATGGAAACAGCATAACAGACAGACCAATACTGTGTGATTCCTCTCCAATGAGGGTTTTGAAAGTCAGAGTCAGGGAAGAAAAGAGCAGGCAGGTTCTTTCCAGGGTGTGGGGTAGGGGCCATGAGTAGCTGCTAACCATTGGCTGTAAATTTACAATCATTCCAAAGATCTTATGGAAGGCATTTGGTCAGTAGAGAGAGAGAGTGTCTGTGTGTGTGCTCGTGTGTGTGTGTGTGTGTGTGTGTGTGTGTGTGTGTTGTACAGTACTGTCCTCTGAGCCAAACAACTGCCACCATGGAGCAATCAGCTGTGGCCCATTGTAAAATATCATCCCAGCTGGACTTGGTTACTGTTACCATCCTTCACAGAGAGGTGGGAGGGTCAGGAGTCCCTCACCTATGTATCTTGATTATTCCTAACACCAGTTGTATGTAACTCTTCTCTAACTGTGGGTTTTCTTGGGAAGGGGCTAGAGTATCTAGATCAAGGAAAACTAGGGGTGGGGCTCCATCTAAGTAGCTATGGGAAAGCCTTCATCACTGCCAGGTCAAGACATTCCAGTGTAGCCTTTTGAGGGAATCACACCCACACTTCTGTAAGCAGCCTCTCATCTGTGCTCTGTAAGGAAGCCCAAAAAATTCTTTGGCTTCTCAGAGTTGTCTTTGGTGGAATCCTTTTTGGTGGGTCCTTATGAGGTGTAGATGCTATTTATGACTGCAGCTGGAAAGGAATTTTAACAACTCTCTCTCTCTCTCTTTCTCTCTCTCTCTCTCTCTCTCTCTCTCTCTCTCTTAGTGTG